GCATATTTTTAAACGTTTAAAAATTAATAAATTAAATTTATCTTAATTTTAAATAATTAAAAATAAAGTTTTTTATTATAAAATCTGATTTTAAATTTTTCTAAATTTACTCCAAGTAAGCAAAACAAGTAAAATTCTCCAAGCAGAATTAACAAATCTAGACAATGGGATACTGGGGAGTAAAATTGGTTCACATTCTACATATATACATACATGAAAATGTATGTATATATGTATATATGCATGTATGTATGTATATATACATACATGAAAATGTATGTATATATATTAATATGTATATATATGTATGTGAAATGTATGAATATACATGAAAATGTATATATAAATGCATGTATTATGTAGAAAAACATAAAAAAAACAGATTTAATATATAAATAAAATCAAATATAAAAAATACTTATTAAAATATAAAGATAATTTATGATAAAAATAAAAAATTTTTGTCTTCTGTTTAAAAATTCGATTTAAAATAAATTTCTTTTAAATTTTAAATATACACAATTTATTTAAGTAACTTAATTATAAATTCTCTATTTATTTATTTAAAATTAAAAATCTTTATCATTGTATATTTACTTATTCATAATTAGTAATTAAACATTATCAGAAAGTAACATAAAATTTGATCATTTGTTAATTACATTATATTCAAATACAGTTAAATGAAAGTAATTTGGTTTAAAATATTATAATTTCAATGAAAAATAATTAAATTAATCATTATACTAATTATTTCGTATTTTAACATTGATATATTTACCTTAGAACAATAGCTATAAAACGTTGAAACACGTCAAAAATTTTCTATCCTCTGACAATAAATTAATGTTTTGATGTTGATTTTGACAAATACAATTTAAACATTTTTCAAATATAAAATATCTACTTTAAATATAATTATTTTTATCGATAAAAATTCGTAACGATACATTTATTTCATTGTGTGAAGTCATAAGAGAATAAATAAATTTAGATATATTTTTTAAATTGTTTTTCCTTCTTCTTAAAAAATTCTCAATTTTCTTTTTCTCTAAACTCTAAAAAAAAATGTAGATAAATATTGAATTAAATATGTTTAAAAATACTAATATGTTACGAGGTAAACAACTTAAAATATCCGCACAAATACTTTAAATTCGAAGATAACATTACAAGATAAATTAGATATGATGCTATATTTATTTTTACTTTTGAAAGAAATAAATTTGTAAATACAGTATAAAAAATATAGCTTTAACTGTTGATAAATATATCAACTTTGAAGTATATTAAAAGAAATAAAATTAAAAGTTGTTGTTATAAACAATAATGCTTTTATAAAATGTGAGAAGTGTCAAGTTAAAAAAAAAATTCGAATATTTGTTTTTAAAAATATTTAGAAAGATAATTGATCTAAAATTTAATGTATTTTGATGTAATTATGTTATTTTTTATTGCGTTTTATTTCTCTAACCAATTGTTGTTTAGATAATTGTACTGACATCCAATCATCATTTAGACAATCGTGTATCTAACCAATCGTTGTTCAGACAACCATATCCTAAAACAATCTTCTTTAGCATTAATTAGTAGCATTTTATGATGCTGTATATATATATACAATGAAATCTCTTTATTATGGACATTTACGGGTTCAAAACTGTATTCAGTGTATTATATAGTACACTATATAAAAATAGTAATATGGCACGTTACAGTAAGTGGCGAATTATTATAAAAAGGTCATTATTACTTTTTAAACAATTATTTTACAATTGATTGTAGCAATTTTTGTCTTTTCTATTGGTGTAAAACTGCTTGAGTTTGTTCACTTATCTGTATGTCTATAGATGACTCTATAGCAGATGTCATTTCTGTTGTAAAGCCATAGATAGCAACTTAATTCTTCTTTTCTTGTATCTCATGAAGTGACTGAAGATTGTTTCTTTGTACTTACTTGTGATGTCAGAATCTATGTCGACGTAATGGTTTGCAATGATGGTGACTTCTACTTTATTCATGAGTCTCTGTGTTATCTCCATATCATTTCCAATAGCTGCTACAAAATTATAAGCGTTCTCATTGCTGTAATAAATTTTGCTTTAAAAAAATAACTTTGAATATTTTTGATGATAGAACTTGTCTCCAAGTATTTGAAATCTCCATGATATAACTCGGAAGACATTAAATTGCTTCGTTAAAGTTTTCAGCGATTTATATTTGCGACTATATTCTTCATGATATTTGTCTGAAACTTTGAATTACGTTCTCTACTTGATCCATACATTGAGACAGTGAAGTGACATTCGGTAGCAGAAATATAATCTCGACATTTTCGACGTAGAGATTATATTTCTGGATTCTGGATGTGATGTAGCAGTGTGAAGATACAAAAATGCTTTTCTGTTTTGGCGCAACATTTTTCTGTTCATCTATTCCTGCCATTCTGCCATAATTTCTCTCGTTAGTTAGATTTCGTAAGGAATCCTGTACACTCCTGCTTTTCCTTCTTTATTAATGCTGTCCTTGTCATTTCTTAATATATTGTAGAGGTTCGGAGCTCTTTTCAAAATCATTTTGGACTTTTTGCTGTCCGAAATTTCTTTCATAATGGCTTTAGTAGTTCTATCGTACGTGAATTTTGTGATTTTTACCGATATCGCCGCATGGAGTCATTTGTAGCTTCTAATCAATCCTGTTATCGTAGCTGATCTGTATCCTAGAGTTCAGGCCACCTGCAATATCCTTGAGGAACCTTTCTGTTCAATCTTCAACTTAAGGCCGTCATTGTTATTATTGACCTTACCAATAAACTCATAGACTTTTTTGTTCTATTGTTTTTTGTATTTGAATTTATATATTATATTTTTAGAACATCGTTATTTTTTCTCAATTAACCTGAGGATGGCCTATCGAATAAGTGGAAAACCTTAGTTACTTTTAAATAAATTTTACTTTATTTTACTTTTTGACACCGTGAAGATTTTGATTTGATAATCTAGGATCTTCTCGCCTCTTTATTCTTCTAGTCCTTTCTCTTTTCTTTTCAAGAGGAATAAGACGTACTGAGAAGAAATCTGGAAAGGATCACTTGGTTTAAAAGCATGAATAAAATAAAGATGATAATAATGAAGATAATTCAATAAATAAAAAGTATCTATATATATTTTTATGCAAGATGTTTTAATTTTATTTAAAATATAAATAATTCTATAGTTTATACTCCATATTCATAGTAATATAAATAACAAAAATAATTAAATCAAGTTTTAAAATTTTCCAGATCTCGAAACTTTACATACAGAAAATTAATTGAGTTTAATTTTCAAATTCTAAAATTTACTTATTTTTTTTTTATTTGTAGAAATGAGAAAGTTCATTAAAAAAATTTTTAATGCTAATTTTGCAAGTGAATAAATTATTAAATTTAATTTTGATTTTTCAAGTTCGAATAAGAATAAATTGCCAATGCAGTGATATAAAGGATCAAATTTACACAAAAGCTAAACAAATTCCAAGAATCTTACTCCATCAGGATACAGTTTAGGACCTCTTGTTTTTACACATGTTACTATTTTGTGAAGGTGAAGGTCCTCTTACATATTATAGTTTAGAGACACAGGTCTTAATCAGGTTCTCGTTACATTATCGTTTTTAAAAATGAGTTTTAATTTACTTTATAATTTTAATAAATGAAATTAGTAAAAATAATTAAGGTTTTTCTATTTCAAATACACGGATTCGGGTCTTTTCACTTTTATTCGGACACTGTACTCCAACTAAACACTAATGGCTGTCAAACACATTGTTGCCTCCATAGACGAAGAGTACTGAACAACAACAATTTTATCGACAACTATTTCTTCCGGTGTGTAGATTTAGTTGCAGTATTTACTATTAAGTGACAATAATTAATAAATACAATGTAGACTATATCTTCTTGCCTCAATACCCTGTCTTGCTCCCCTTGCTTTATATGACAAACAACTATTTATTGTAATTGTAGGAATTTGAAGTAGTATGTGAACTTATGAATGAAAGTTTAAAAAATTGCCACAATAAATTACTAAAAAATTCGAAGAAACTAATGAAAAATTGTGTTTTGGTAAGATGAAAAATACAAGTAATAAAGCTGTTATAAAATGTTCAAAATACCAAAAAGTATTGAAATATAAATCAAAAAACTTCAAAGATCGAATAATATTTATAGAACACCTTTCGACCATTCGCATGAATAAAATAAAGCTGCTTTTTTAACAAATCTATTTATGTGGGGGATGCGTATCCTGGATATCTGAAAAATATCTGATATAGGATAATATTTGACTTCTGGACTAAGATACAGATTTTTGTATGTATGATATAAAGATAAATGATTTGTATAAAGATATAAAAGGATTGTTAGAACGTAACATTATCCTGATGATAATGTTTATTATATTCTGAAAATAAATAAGAAAGTTTCGTGAAAGATAAAATAAAAAACAATAGAAAGATCGTGACAAAGTTGTAGAATTGAAACAGAGAAATGTATGTTTTATCCATTGAAGGCGAAGAGAGGAAAAAATTGAATGTGATTAAGAAATGTGTGGCAAAAGAGATGACAAAATTACAAAGATTTTAAATTTTATAAAATGGAACAATACAGAATGATAAATTAAGAGGTAAGAACCATGAAATATATTTTGAAAATATAAAGAAAAATATTTTTTCATGAAAAACTTTAGGAAATAAAAGTGAAAACAGTGATAAGTACGTAACCGTTACTCAAATACTTAAAAGAATCTTCTTTAGCACTTATCTAGCTGTTAATCATTGTTTTCTCTTTGACTAATTTATATAAGAATTGTTTTAAGATATCAACTAGTACATATTTGATAAACATATTAATAATGGATAAAATATAATTAATCTACAGTGACTCGTTTACGGAATATAATGTTTTAATTTATAAATTCATTAAAAGTCTGTAGCCTACTGTTGCCATTCTTTGCAGATCAGACAAATGTTTTCAACTGAGACAGCCTTAAACAAACGTTTCAAGATACCTTTTCTTTTCCTTCCATTTATGTTGGTCTTTTATTTTAAGGTATCTTGGTTCTTTTTTAAATGTAAAGTTTCTTTTATCGGTGATTCAGTAAGGATAAAAGGAACGGTCTTTTTTCCTCTTATAAGTTCTCATTACGCCTACCAAAAAAATAAAAAATAATTAGACAAAATTAATTAGCAAAATTTATAATTAGCACAGAACAGATGACAAACGTATTATTATTACTGAATGGCAAGTGTAGACGTCTTAAAAATTAAAATCTTAAACACATGAAAGCCACTTATTTTTTATTTCTTATACAATTATGCAATGCTAAGATCCTCGTTTTATTTAGAAGCACATTACCTTAAATATGAGAAAGTCCAATACTCGCCGAATTTTACACAAAGCATCCAAGGACGACTATTCGCTCCGGTTCGCTAACTTTGTCTCCCATCACGCTAAAACTTTTCACACAGGAAGTAAGCAACTAATTACATACTGTAAACTACCCTAATGTGGTGCTAATATCTGCTATTGCTGATTTTTAAACTGCATCGAGGCAACCTATTCCTGATAAATCTTGCTTCGGGCTCTCCTACGGTACAGAGTGATCCATACAAGTAAAGAATGATCTAATCGAGTAAACGTAATATAGTACGATATAGAGCGATCCAGTGTGATGCAGAGAAATCCACGGTAAGTTTTTTTAATTAAGATGTTTTATTTCCACACGTTATACATGCCATCATCATAAGTTTACCATTTGAAGAAACCATAAATACAAATGGCTCCCTGAAAGCTTCTTATAAATTACAACTTTCATTTTACAAAGTTAATCTAAATCTCTTTATCGCTTTAATTATTATGTTCTGTTTCTTTATCTTTATTTTTCCAAGCGAATGACAGTCATGAGTTAGGTTTTCAATCGTATTTTTTCATCTAACAACTGTTGGTCGATAACATGCCTTTGAGCAAATCCTTAGTTAAACTATAAACAATATCATGTTTTTATAACCTACATCATCTCCAATTATTCCTGATCTCTATTTAATCACTTTTCTAATTTAGTAAAAGGACCACATTATTAATATTTCATTCGTTTATTTTATATTTATTTTAATAAATCTCATTTTTCGTGTATTAATGAACTATGTTTGTAACTGTTGAAAAAGTTTTTCTTGATCTTAATTTTGCATCTTTTTAAATAAATTAATAAAAAAAATATATAAATTTTGTATGCATTTAATACATAATTTATAAAATTGTTTAGTTCTTAAGTAAATATTAATTTCTCTAATTATTTGTATATATTTTTTTCTAGATTATAGTTATAGTCTAATATTTAAATAGTGAATTTAGGTTTAAAACAAAATATTTTCTTGAATAATTCATTATTTTTTATCTCAATTTTCAATACATAAAAATATACTTTTATTTAATATTATGGTGTAATTTTTCTATAATTTTTCTATAGTTAGATTTAAAAGTACTGGTGCTTCGTGCTTCGAATTTAATTCATTCCGGAAGGCCATTCGAACTCCGAATCACTCGAAGTTCGTATCAATTTTTCCTATTACAAATAATGGAAAGTGAATTAATTCGTTCTCACATAGTTAATCGGGTCCTTCTACCTGTAAGCTTTCATATCTTGTCTTGAATTTCATTTATCTAACAGTTTTCTCAAGATTAAGGATAGACAGACGGACGCCAGTGGAAATTTATAGGTCTATAATTTTTTGAAATTAAATTGCATTTATTGTTCGCACACTATTGACTTTGGTATCTCAAACATGGGCTGTCAGATTCGTCACACCTGTACTGCTTTCATGCTTCGCACTAAGTTCCTTTTTTCACCTTAATCGTCGATACTATAACCTTCCTCTTACACTTCGTTGCTGCTTCCACACTTCTCGGATGCAATAGTTAATAAATAAAGGTTAAAGTCATGTTGCCAATCTTCTGTCGTGGAAACCCCTAAACATACCTGAAATTCTCCTTAAAACTAGAAGAGTTCCCTAAAAATTGAAACAAGTTCCCCTTAAATAGTTTTGTT